GTCCGTGTGTCTGTCCCCCGCTCAAGGGTAGGGGCATTAGCCTTCCTTTGGTCCCACATCCCTTTCAGAACATGGTGAGGCCTGTGGGCACAGTCCCTTCAGAGCACACTACTCCAAGGCTTTGCAATCCCTGCAGTGGCCTTCGAGCCAATTTGAGAGCCTCTGCTCCAGGAAGCTCAGGTTGGCCTCTGCAACTGTCATCCGTGGCCCTGCCTGCCTCTGGAGCAGAAAAGCGTCTGTGGTCCACTGACCCTCTCCCTGCTCTTTGCTGGTACACAGTGAGCAGCCGTGTTTGAGCACAGCATGTTCTCTGCATGCAGGGCCCAGCCGTGACCCAGTGGGGCCAGGGATTAAGCACACTGCCCCTTCCCACCCTCTGCTGCTCTGTGTTCCAGGTCTTCTGTCAGAAATCACCGATCCAGAGAGCTTCCTCAAGGACCTGTTGGACTCAATCCCCTGACCATCCCCATGGCACCACAGTCGATGGAGATCTAAACTAGCCCGCCTTCCTTCTGTACTCGCTCCTCATACATTGATTATTACCCTCTCCCTTCCCTCGGTTTTCTTGGAGTGGCTTGGGGTTTTTAGGCTTCCTGTTTCTCGTGTGTGTGTGTGTGTGTGTGTGTGTGTGTGTGTGTGTTGCACTAGCTATGAAGTGTCTGTAGCCCAAGCCATCGAAGGACCTATACATACCCAGGGGCCTTGAGTCGTCCTGGCCAACCTAATACTTGAGTGTGTACATCTTGAGAAATAAACAAATGACTTAATAGACATCGGAAAGGAGGTGTTGGCTGCTGCTTAATCCTGCCCTGGTTATGCTGGCGGTGTGTGCACAGCCCTTTGCGGGTCCGCACAGGAAGACGGGCATATTACTTGCTGTCTCTGGACCTCTTTTTGGCACCACAGAGCCTGTCTACTCTGGCTGGCAAGTCGGGGCGCTGCATTCACGGCTGTGATTTTTTTTTTCTTCCCCAAAAAACAAAGCCCACGGCCTTGCTCTTGATTTTTTGGTCTTTACCCAAGTGGTTTTCTAGTCCCCACCTGAAGGGGCTCAGTGGAGCAGGCAGTGGTCTTCCTCTACAGCAGTTACCTTGGGGCCTTTTGCAGTCTTGTGCTGGCTGTCAGTTGGGTCTGTTGGTGACTTCAGGAGTTGAAGAGAGGCATGGCCTAGGGACCCCTGGGATCTGGTGCCAGGTGCCCGGTGCATTCTTATTTCCAGCCCAAACAGCCCCCCACCCGAGGTCACCAGTCAGGAGCTTGGAGTTGGCAGGTTTGTGTCCCTGAAGCCACATCCTAAGCCTCCAAGACCTGCTCCCTGTCATTCCTGGGAGCTCTTAAAAGCCTCTCCTTCACTTTAGCAAAGGCTGGCCTGATACGGTCTCATGGGGAGGAAGAGCTTGCTGATGCCCGTCACCTTTTGTTCTTGTGGGCCACTCTGCCAGCTTCTTTGAGTGACATCAGCCTCCCTGCCTGGATGTGCAGTTCGTATGTGCTTCACTCCTGGGGCAGGGACATTTGGGACTGGGTTGCTGCTGGGCCCTTTGGAAGATTTCCACAGCAGGATTTCATGTCCCTGCTCCAGAGCCCTGAGCGGGTGCCGTAATAGATGTGAGTGCTGTCCCTAGACTTAGCCGGAGAGACAAAGGCTTATTTGTTGCGGGGCTCAGCTGGAGGACTGGCAGACTGCAGTGTGTGTGCCCAGGAGCACGAGTACTGGGGTTGTGCTGGGAGATAGGGGTTTCAACGACTTGGCTCCGGGAAAGGGAGGCAGGCCCTGGCCTTCCCTCCTTGGTTCTAACCTCAGCTCCTGGCTAAGAGGTGGGAATTGTGGTCTCTGGGGTTGGGACGCCTACAGGCTTGCAAACAGCTTGCAGAAGGGACATAGTAGCTCCTCTTGTCATCACTGAGTTTGTTTTCAGTCTGTTTAGATCTTGCCTTTCACAGATCTGCTTGCCTGTGAGGTCCAGGAGTGTTTAGTGAGGAAGACGAGGACCTGGGCCTTGGCCTCTCAGGTATCACACTGGAATTGCAGCAAGGCCCCCCCACGTTCCCTTTCTGGTGGCCTCCCGAGAGCCACCGTAAGCGTGAGGTGTGTGGAATCAGCGTTGCCCTGTCCTCGTGGGGAGTGAGGTGGAGTGGCTTCATGCAGCACTTCTGTGCCAGTGTAGACCAGGAGTCAGACCTGCTTGTCAGATGCCAGGCCACTAGCTGCAGCCCTGTTGTACACTGTCACACCGCAGGACATGCCATGTTGACATCAGAGCTCATTGTATGGTGCCCCTGCCCTTGCTGCTGCTTTGTTACTGCTTTTTGTTTTTAATTATTTTTTTTACAAAGGTCTTTGAGGAGTTTGGCTAGAGCCCAAACACATCTTGTTTTCATGGTATCCACTCAAGGGTGCTTCCTGGTGGCCTTGACAGTGTCTGAACAGCTGTTGATGTGCTCGCTGTGCAGGCCTCGCTGTGCCTTGGTGGTGCCCAGGCAGGAGTGGAACCTGGTCTAGGAAGAAGGCGACACCTCCCTGAGCTGTGTCCCTGACAGGAGCCCTGGAGGACACCACAGAGAAGCTCGCCCCTCTGCTATCCTGACCCATTTTCTCAGCTCAGAGCTGCCTGGGGCCCTGTGATTCACAGAGTAATTAAGCTGATTCCGGCTGGCCGTGTCCGGTGGTACAGTTGGAGGCCCAGGAAGCCTGGACCGACCAGTGAAGCTGGAGGAGAGATACTGGCCTTTCCCTTTCCCTGGCTGCTGGACCTCTGGAGGTCTGAGGCTGGCACCCAGCTTCCAGGGTTTGGCGCTCGGCTAGAGGTTAAATGGGGCTACGTGAGCTGGCTCGTGAGGCCACGCTGCCCTCCCAGGTGTGTTTGTGGAGCCACCGGGGACTCTGCCAGGCCCTTTGCCTCACTCTTGCCCCCGACCTGAGAAGGTGGTGGTGTTCCCGCCTTCAGATAGGGAGGTCTCCTAGAGGAGGTGACGCCTGCTGGGAGGCAGGAGCTGAGGGGGCCGAGCAACCCCAACCCTCGGTCTCGGGATGTTCACTCCAGGACTGCGTACCCAGTGCTGTGCCAGGTGCTGAGGGCACAGCAGGGCGTCTGTCACACAGGCCCTGCCCTTGCGTGGGCTCCAGGGAGGGAGGCTGTCGCCTGCTCTGTCCTGGGCACACAGACGAGTACCCCGGCCACGGTTCCCGCTGCGCCTGGCCCTTTCTTCTGCCTCAGTGCCCCAAAGACAAGGCCGCCAACTTGCCCAAAGCCAGCTGGCGACTCAGGCCACAGCAAAGCTGGGGCTGTTGCAGCCAGATCAGGGGACAGCAGGCAGAGACAAGGCTGGGACCAAATCCTCCACCCTCTTCAGCTACTTCCGCTGTCTTACGAGAGAGTGATGCGCAGTACGGAGCCTTCTCAACTCTGCCCTTCTGTCCATGCTGGGCTCTCAGACCCAGTGCAGAACCGAGCTGCCAGGCTTCCTGCTCAGAGGGAATCACTGGTGGTAGTGTCCCCCATTTCTGGGTGGCTGGGCCTGGAGTAGGGGGGCAGCAGGCTCTGCGCTTCGCTGGGTGTGAGTCCTGGGGTCAGACAGGTCTAAAGTTAGCCCAGTGACAAGAGCCCGGAACTCTTACCGTGGGGCAGTGCCATCCCAGGCTGGGCCGTGGGGGTGACGGGCGCGGCAGGGGGAGGGTGAAGGGACTTGGGCCGACCCTCAGACCCCGCTGCCCGCTTGGCCTGGTGGCCTCCACGCCTCCTGGTCCCCTGCCTGCTCACTCCCACCTGCACCGGGTGCTGCTGGGCAGCCCGTCAGCTGTCGGTGGTCGTAGAAGTCGGGGTCTCGTGACACTCACATTCACAAGCTCCTCCTCTGGCCAGAGCACTGTGCCTGCTGTGGTCTCTGATCCCGAGTTCCTGTTCCTTCTAGCTGAGGAACCGGAGCTCAGAGGCGAACAACTGCCCTTGTCCAAGGCTGTACGACTTTGTGGCGTCTGCAACCAGCCCGTGCCCTGTGCGTTTACCTGGTTCTGCTCCTATCCGGCCTCGGCACCTTTGGGAGCCAGGACTTGGCCAGAGGCCCTGCGGGCGGGCAGGCCCACCGCAGCCCAGGGTTAACTGGCCTCACGCTGGGAACTGAGCTGGGGCTGGGCAGAGGTGCAAGGCCCTGGGAACCAGCTCGGGGCTGGGATGACAGGGCAGGACATGTCCGCAATCGGCCTTCGTGCCAGGGCAATTAGACGGTGGCTTTTGTGTTGTGGGGCCTGAGCGCGGGGCCTAGAGCTGCCAGCTGCAGGTGGCCCAGCTCCAATCACAGGGCCGCTCTCGGCCCCAGCTCCTTCATGTGGCAGGAATCTGCTTGTCCACAGGGACAGGGTCATAGCCCTGTGGAGAGTAACTGCAGACAGCCAGACAATGGCACTCTGTTCTCCCCTGGCTCTGGAAGTGGCAGCCTGTGGGATCCTCCTCACTGTGGCCACCAGGCCTCACGCTTCTCCTGCTCCCGGCAGCCACGAGGGCTCCTGCTACCTCAAAAGGAAGCTGAGTCAGAGGTGTCCCAGGCTACGGGTGCCAGGCCCACTGCCCTCCCTTTAGTTCTGCCTCAGTGGCCCGCTCCGAGCTGCCTGTGCTGGGCCGTGTACAGAGACGCTGACAGCCACTTCTCTGAAGCCCACAACTTCCTAGAGTGGCCACGACTATGTGTCCCTTATAAAGAAGAACTCAGGGCTCACAGATGGGGCTCCGCAGCCAAAGCAGATGCTCAGAGTGGTCAGTGTACCCAGTTAAATTTGAATTTCAAACCAATGACAAATACATTTTCAAATATAAGTGTCTCAAATATTGCATGGGACAACTTTTTAGTATGTCTGTCCCATGTAATATTTGGGACAGATTTATACCAAAAACATTACATTTCTCTGGAACTCAAAGCTTGTCTAGGCGTCCTTGGTTGGATGTGCACTCTGGTGACCATAGCTCAGGTGCCTGTCGGACACACTGGTTCCTCACCTCTGTGAAGCCCCTCTAGTCGGGGCAGACATGAGGGCTGAACGGACCTATCAGGGGTGAAGGGGCTGCAGGTGCCCAGTCTGGAAGCTAGGGAGAGCCTGGCATGGGTGGGGGACATCCGCGTCGGGGGATGCTGGGGATGGGAGTCATCGGACGACTGGTGCAGAGGCTTATCCAGGGGCCACAGAGGCCCCTGACGTGTCGTGAGCAAGGGGCTGAATTCTAGAAGCTGTGGCTCTGGCCCTTCTGCAGCAGCTGGCCCTGTGCTGCCCCACCCCACCCCCAGCTGCTCAGCTCTGCTGGGGCCCCAGGGCCAAGATGGTTGGGGTCAGAGTCTAGAGTTCAGTTTGGTTCAGGCCCGGTGCTGTGGCTGTGGACTGCGCCCTTCGCTTCTGTAGGCCTTAGTTTCTTCCTGTGTAGCGAGCGTGCCTGTTGGAGGCTCTGGAATGAATGTCTCGGGTTCCGCCCAAGGGACATTCAGGGGCAGCAGGGATCCTACAGTGTCAAGAGCTGTCTGGGGTCAGTGCGACTCCCCTCCTGAGAGGCAGCCTGCTGGCCCTGCGTCGGATGTGCCCCACAGGGCAGGGTGGTGAGGTCCAAGGTCATGTCCAGCCCCAAGGGCTGTGTAGCGGGTAGAAGTTCCCGGGGCTTCAGAGTCAGTCCTGGCCATGTGATCTCCGAGGAGCCTTTGTCTCTGGCTCCCGTGTGCACACAGTGCCCAGCTCTGTGCCAGGCGTGGGTTCTAAGACAACTCCCCCTGTGGGTTACAGAAGAGAGACACGGGCCTGCCGTCGCTGCCAACCCCCTCCAGCCTGAGCTAAGCCATGCACCACACGCTAGCTTACCCAGGGGGTGACCTCGAAGGACAGACGGTCATCTATAGGACAGCTTTGGTGCCAGCCAGCTCTGTCACTCGCCATGCTGTATGCCCCGGGCAAATTGCTCATCCCCTCTGGGCCTCGGTCTCCTCGTCCGCGAAGAAGGGTTAATAATGCCTGAAGGGGCGTGAAGCAGGAGGGTGACTGCTAAGCACTTACGCAGAGCTGGCCCAGGTGGACGCGCAGAGAGCAGAGACCAAGCCAGGAAGGACTGCAGGGAGTTGAGGGACGTGGGAGCCGTCTTGTTGGGGCATGGGGTGCAGGTTTGGGGAATGGCTTTTCAGAGGAAGGTGTTGGACGTGGGGACTCCTGGGTAGAGGGGGAGCAGGGTCTCAGGAGGTGGGGGAGGTGCTGAGCAAGCTATCCTGAGGGCCTGGGCTTGACTTGCCCAAGGATCCCCCAGGACCAGCCTGGTACCAGGTGTTGGGTTCCTTACGGTCTATGAGACAGGAGGAAGGAGGCGGAGGGGTGGACGGGACCTCAGCTCCCGCTCCCCACCCCCCTGACACCCTGTGTCCACCTCTGACCCAGGGGACAGGAGGAGACCAGCCCTCTCCTGGTGCTCCTGGATGCCCCAGAGGCCTCCCACCCTCCTCCAAGAGGCCCCTAACCCCAGATCCTCCTGGGGGGCTGACAGGAGGATTCCTAGGCTCAGACCTGTCCCCAGTGTGTCCCAGGGCTGGGTGTGAGCACCGTCACCTGATGCTGGGGGACACTGGGGCCTCTTCGGCGGCTCTTTGGATTTAAGTACCTCAGCGCACACTGCTAGGTGCCCAGGCCTGGGATCAGAGGTGACAAGCCCCACCCCTGCCCAGGCCTGGTCCCTGCTTTGAGTGAGACCCACCAGCAGCCTGGGGTTTCATTCTGAGGACAATGGCAGCAACCACGATGACTTCCTTTGTACCCACATGAAGCAGGCTGCCCACTGAGGGAGATGCCAGGTTCCACCCCGGCTCTGGAGGGGACCGCGAGACTGGCTCACAGCTCCCTGCCTCGCTCGCTTCTTCCATTATCTCCGGGCACCTTTCCTGTGCCAGCCCCAGGGCATAGACGCCTTGCCACGTCCCCACGGTGTCTGCCCCGAAGGAACGCAGCAAGCCCCAGCCGGAGGACGGACCAGAGGGTCTTGAGGCCACAACCGAGGTGACGCTGCCAAGCCGTGGAGGAGAGTGGGAGCCGGGTGTCGGGCTGAGTCTCAGCAACCAGTGGGATGGGACAGGATGCGGGCAAAGTCCCCCGCGAGCCATCAGACACACCTGGCACCCCCTTCCCAGGTGGGTGTCACGGCAGAGTTGAGCTGTCCGTAGCCCAGCCGGGTGGGACAGTTTGCTGCCCACCTCCACCCACCCGCTGCTGGCTGTGCAGAACCTGCTTCCTCGGGAGGTGAGAGGTGCAGCTCCTCTCCCACTCCTCAGCCTCCCCTCCCTCCTCCTCCTCTGCCTCCCCTTCCTGTCCTGCTCCCCTTCACCCTACATACGCTCAGGTCACCCCTTCTCCACCCAGTTCCTAGGAAAGCCCCACCTGGAGCTCTGCAGGCTGCCAGGGCAGGGAGAGCTGCGGTCCCGGCCGTGGCATGGGACACACCCCACCCTGCCTTCAGCCTGCTCTCCCTGCCCTGCCGCTGTGACACGGGCTCCCCATCCTCCACTGTGGCATCATCTCTTGGGCAAGCTCTGCCCGCCAGGGTGGGGCCCACCAGCTGCATTTAGCACATGCCAGGGCACCTGAGCCGGGTCAAGCTGGGGGGTGGCAGAGCCTTTGTCTCTTGGGAGGTGTCCCGGTCCTCTGTATAGCTGGTCGTGTGTCCTTGAGTCGGCAACTCTTCTCATCCTGAGGCTTCAGGAATAAAGGAAGTGGAGAAGTCACTGTGCCACGGCAGGACTTGGGCCACAGCTCCATTCACCGTGTCCCTTCTGTCCTTCCAGCAAGTGGGAAGCCTCTCCTACCCCAGGGCCTTTGTTTGTGCTGTCCCTGCTGCTTGACAGCCCTTTCTCAGCTTGTCAGAGCTCTTCAGCCCCAAGTCTAGGTTTGCAAGCTGGTGTCAAAGGGGCCTTTCCAGGGCATCTGTCCTCATGGTCCCTTTCACTACTGCACTACCCTGTCATGCTGTCACACCCCGAAGTGGCTGGCTGTCTATCTGCTTGCTACAGACCACTGGCCTTACCCCCTCCCATGTCACTGGGTGCAGTACTGCCATAGCCCACCCTGGCTTGGGCACAATCATCTCGCTTTTTCAAATTGACAAATAAAAATCACATATTTAGGGCACATGGCTTTCTGAAATACGTACATATTCTGGGACGGCTGAAATAAGCTAACTAACATTTACTTTAGCTTGCAGACGTGTGTGTGTGTGTGTGTGTGATGAAAACACTTAAAATCTGCTGAGTAGGATGTTATGCACACCTGTATCCCAGCACGCGGGAGGCTGAGGTAAGAGGGTCTCGAATTTGAGGCCAGCCTCGCTACATCGTGAGAACCTGTCTCAGAAAGATGGCAAAAAAAAAAAAAAAAAACAAAAAAAAAATTGCTTGCTTGTCAGCTGCTTCAGAAAGTGGCAGAAACAATGCGATGAGTGTCCAAAGCAAAGGGGAAGTGTTTTGAGGAGACTGATGGCAGGGTGACTTTC